TTATTTAATTATATTTTTACTATTATTAAATTAAATTGTAAAATATAATTGACATATTCATTTTTATTATTTATATATATAATCTAAAAACAAATCTATTTTAAAATATTTAGCAAAGGCTTGCAGAAATGTTTTCTAAAAATAATAATATACTTTATTACTCCATACAATTTAAAGGCTACTATGAACTCCATACAATTTAAAGGTTACTATGAACAAAAACGGCAAGTCACACAATTTATGTCAAAATATTTTTTAAATAAATGATATTTTTTAATCAAAAACAATTGTTTAAAATTTGAAATATAAAATAAATAAAAAGTTTAACAAATTTTGATAAACATATAAAGAGGTGAGTATCGAACCCACGTCGCTTCTCACATGAGTTAGAGTAATTTATCATTGGGACAATAACATCAACTATTATTAATATGAAACAAAATTTATGTATAATTTGTTAATTACTCTTTTCACATAATAACTTGGTTTTGCTATTTTGATTCCTACACGCTCAGATTGTTGAAACCTATATTTCATACCAAAATCGTATCTCAGATTGAAATTGCTTCAACATATCATAGCCCAAAATCACTTCCAGATTGAAATCCCTTCCAGGTTCTGTAATTTCTCTCTTCATTGTATCCCTAATTTCTTCAACAAATCATAGCTTCTGATTGCTCATCGTATTCGGTTTGTCTCTCTATTTCTTCATCAATTTTCCTTAGCTTGTTATAGAATCTAAAATTCTTTATGACTTTCACTTTTCACTTATTATCCAAAGTCGTAGTATTAGTGTTTTTGATTTTGGATTTCTTAGCTATTGATTTGCTTGGCATCAGGTTTTTTTTATGACTTCTAGCTATTTGATGAAATGCACAACTTAAACAAAACTTCATTTGTCTCCTGAGTCAGAAGTTCTATTTACTTGGCAATGTTACTTCTCATTTGTAACAGTTGTTTGCACTATGTTCATATGTGGGTGTTGTAAATGTAGACATAGAAATATTTTATCCATTTTCCACAATGCGGGGCTGTGAAATTAGTGTGTGGGTGCGTGCTTGGTAATAGTGGAAACTACAAGGTAGAAAACAATTCACACTTTGGAATCCCACTCCATTGTTCTGAAATTTCTCTACCATTTTTAATGCTATATGGTTACATTTTAGAGTTTTCTAATAGTTATCCATTCAAAATGCAGAGACTGGTTGCAGTCTCAGGATGTGGCCATCTACCTCACGAAGAATGTCTTAAAGCGTTGCTTGCAGCAGTATTACCCTTCATCGGTAAACTATGCTCTGTATATAACTCGGATAGTCAGTAGGTCATATTTTTCTTTCAAAATTTCATGATCCTTATAATTATTAACAAATTTCTAATTTCCATTGAATTTTTTCCTAACCCTTTCAGCATTGTGTATCTTTACTCGTGTTTTTAATAAGACCACAATAGGAAGTACTATAGTAAATTGTAATTATGGAGTATCTTTACTCGTGTTTGAAGATGACCCAATTGATGTCCTACAAGATGATGAAGTTGATGGTGAAGAGGTTAGTTTGTCAACAATACAAGAAAATGAAGATGAAGAGGATTCCAATGACGATGATGAAAATTTAATTGCAATTTGATTTAGATAAATTTTTAAACATTTATTTGACTTGTAAATAACAATCACCTAGATTCTAAAAACTTTATAGAGCCATTGGTCGAAGACAAGTTACCACTGATGCTTTCGTACAATTTGTAGGTGTTTGTTAATCAAATTTGGTATACAAAATGGTATACAAAATTTCTGTTAGTAAACTGTTATAGTTTGAAGTTAGCACTGTTCAAATTTGGACTTGGTTATATGAATAAATTGTAAGGTTATAGTGAATGAAATTAGTTTGAATTAAGTTGTAGATACCGATACCTGTTTTGGTATGCTTTTTTACCTTACTTGATATGCTTCTTAGTTGGTCTGTTTTTTCTCAATGGGATTACTTAACACAGTTTAAACTTATTTTAAATGCATATAGCTTAGTTTAGACTTATGTTGAATGCATATTTGTACTTTATGACTGCAATTCTTGTTATGCTAAAAATTGGGGGATAAAAGTTCTTTCTGTAATGTATATGTTGCTGAGAATACTGAGTTGAAAATTTTGAGGTTACATACATATTTGATTTGTTTTACTGGTTTTTATCTTCTTGCTATGGTAGTTGAATGTCTACGGCTTTTGTGATTGTTATTTTATGAATGAAGAACCCAATTGGGGTGGGCTCTTGATTCGGTTTAATAACTGTAACATTATAATATTTACATTTTACCGTCAAAGCTTTATGTCTGATTTTATGGTATCCTTGTCAATATCATCTTAATGGGATTTCTAAGCTGATTAATGGAATTGAAGTGTCGGGGTGAGTCATGTTGTATTGAACCAAATTAGCACTGTCACGAAACTGAAATTAGTAGGTTTGTTATCTCTTGCATTGCTCATTGAGCCACCATGATGCTGATTGAAGTGTTATGAGACATATGAACTACCTGTTATATTACTGTTAGGAGTTTATTTGAACATGAGGTTAATGACAATTGTTGTGGAGAATTAGCTTGAAGCAAACAGTTAGTGAATTAAGTTTTGTTGATGTTCAATCTCTGTTTGAAGTTTCTATGCTGCTTAATATATGTTACTTTCTTGTCTGATATGTAGCTGAAGGATACTACTCCTTTTGATGAGAACTACTAGTGGTGAAATAGTGGAGACTTTACCAAGATCCTTTCAGGTACATATATAAATAAATAACATTGGATTTCACTATTATGTTTATCCTTTCAGGTATTTATTTATGGATATGGGACAGTCTATTAATAAGTTGCTAGATAAAATTGGACCAAATGACCAGAAAATTACAAAATTAAGTATTGTGCTTTAGTTGATGTAGAGAGCTGCTGAAACAGAGCTTCTGACGAGATTTCCATATGGAGGTAAGTATTCAGTCTCCTACTTTACTAATCCATATGGAGGTAAGTGTTTTTCTATCCATGGGAGAAGCTATTGATGCGATACTTACTGCTAAAATGGCTACCGTATAAAGTACTCATTGCCTAAAATATAAAGTTATATATGAATACAATTTGGTTTGTAATTTTTCAAATTGTATTTTAATATATTTTTCAAATTGTAATTTAGAAGTTATATACTTACTGCTAAATTGTATTTCAAATTGTGCTTTAGTTGATGTAGAGAGCTACTTTATTTGATGAAGGAATTGGAGCTGGAGTGGAGTGTATGTCACAAGATAGTATTTTAGGGATCATCAAAACTAGCTCAAACGTACATCAAAGTCGCACTTTTCAAATTCAAGTGTGATTGAAGCTGGTATGTTTAGCTACTGCAAGTTAATACGGCGTCGATGCCGAGCAACGGTCAAAGTTGAATCTTGTGGAGATTCATGTATATTTCTTCATGGAGTATGCCATTGAGAAAGGCATTGTCTATGTTAAATTGTTGGATATCCCACTTATATGTGATGGCTAGTGTGAGCAATGAATATTTTAGGTTTGGAGTGGTCTGTTTTAGCTCTAGTGAGCATGGGATGATTGTTTTGGATAAGGGTTATAGGATGTGAACTTGATTGTATTGAAGAAGAATTAGAAGATGCAGATAAAGGAATGTGAGAAGAAAGAGTGAGTTCATTAGAATGAAAGGAATGGCTTAAGTCTTGAGTATCTGAATGAAAGGAATGGCTTAAGTTTTGGTTACCCTTAGGATAACTAGATGTTGTGTGCAGGATTGCTGGGTAAGATGAAGTTTCAGAAGTACTGAATTAGGAATTGTCCTTAGAACATGTGTAGATGGAGATTCGTGACTAGAAGGTGGAGCATTGGATTGATTAGGTTCCAGGTCAGAAGGGACTGTATCATTGGATATGTGTACAGGTGAGACATTTCTAATGTTGTGAACAGCCTGGCTAGATGTACTAGGATGCTTAAGATAAGGTTGTAGACTGTCCATGTTATGGTCCTGATTGACAGAATGTATAGAACTGTGTGGACCAGGTGATGAGACAGAACTGAGAGAATTAGGGGCCTCTATATTGTTGGGCGTAGGATTATTGCCGACTATTGGAGATACACAGGTAGGAGGATTAATATTGATAGCAGTAGGTACAGACAATCGATTTAAGCCTCCTGCTGACACAGATTCTTGAGGTAATTTCTGGCTAGGAAACAGAGCGGGAAAGGGAAAATAATGCTCATTAAACTTAACATCTTTAGAGATAAAAATTCTACACTCCTTGCTAAGACATTTGAAGCCTAATGTTGAGGAGATATTCCAAGGTAGATGCATTCTTGGCTTCTCAGTTGTAGTTTGTGTTTATTAAAAGGTCTTAATAGAGGAAAGCATGAGCAACCAAAAACTCTTAAGTATTTGAATATTCATTGCCATAAAAATTACACGTTGCTGAATTTGTTGTATTTCTTATTAATTGAATTGAAGCATTTACTTTGATGCACTCTAAATGTTTGATGAAATGTCTCAATGTGTTTTTGATATGTTTTTTGGAATTCCTTTATTGCACTCTAAATGTTTGATGAAATGTCTAGGCGTGTAGTTTTTACAGAAATCCTTTATTGCACTATAAATGTTTGATGAAATGTTTCTATGTATTTTTAATATGTTTTTGTAATTGTTTTTGTAGTGATGGCATTGGTGGTAGGTTGAAATGGGAAGGTGAAGAAATTGGCGGTTGGCAAAGTTGATGGTAGGGCTGGTTTGGATACAAATGGTTTATCTACAAATGGTTGTTATAAATTACTATTGGATACGTGGAAATTTTGAGAGGAACTAGAACAGTGTCGGCATGATGAAGTGGAGCAACAGGTCCCTGCGGTCCATGCTCTGAAATTTATTATGATTTTCATCCTGAGAGGGGATACAATGATGTTGTAAGTAAGATACAGTTAGAAGTTGAGTTATTCCAAATCACTTCATTGACAATGTTTTACATTTTTTGGGATGGGTTGGGGATGGAAGCAGGATCTTGGGGATGATACACGCTTTATAGAGTTCTACAATCTAGTATTCATGCAATACAACAAAAAAGACGATGGTTCTCTTGAACCACTAAAGCAGATGAACATAGATACTGGCCTCGGTCTCGAGCGCATGGCTCGCATTCTTCAAAAGGTATTGCATTCATTTGAACTGTTGTACAAGTCACCCTTTGTAAATTTACAAGTGTTTCTAAGAAACGTCAACTACAACTCTGGTATTTCTGCACCAGTTTTTCTTGCTCCATACTTTACACCCTCACTTGCATGTTGAGAAAAAATGGGGCAAGGAAAAAAGGTGTGAATGAAACATTACTCACACCACTATCATTTTCATTTGCTCTTCAAGTGCTTTTTATATTTATTAAGTGTTCACTGCAGGTTCCAAACAACTATGAAACTGACTTGATTCTCCCCATTATAGAGAAGGCATCTGAATTAGCAAATGAGTTGGAACGTCTCACTCGTGTTTTCACTCAAAATTCATGATCTCATTGGAACTCATAGAGATGTTCCTTCTCCTGATATGGGAACCAATGCTCAGACAATGGCTTGGATGCTTGATGAGTATTCTAAGTTTCATGGTCATTCACCGGCAGTGGTGACCGGCAAGCCTATTGTAAGTATATAATAATATTGTACAATCATTACCAACTGTAGCTTTAAGGTCCTATTTGAGTGGTCATAGTTTTCTTGTGTAAACAATGATAGTTTGTCTATCCAAGATTCAAGAAATCAGTTTGAAATATTTGGCTTGTAGGATCTTGGAGGTTCCTTGGGAAGAGAGGCCGCCACTGGACTAGGAGTGGTTTTTGGAACGGAGGCTCTATTTGCTGAATATGGGAAATCAATTTCTGATATGAAATTCGCCATCCAGGTATTTATTCACCACCACCACCACCATACCATGATATTTAATATACAACTTTTTCAATAAGTCTACACTATTCTGATATAAAATTTACAGAATAGTGGGGAATATGGGAAATCAATTTCTGATATATTTTACAGAATAAGTATATACATCCCTGTACATCACGTAGGATTACAATATCTTACACTTTCATTTGTGAAAATTGAGGTTTTGGACTATCTCATGATTTGAAGAATTGATATTTAACAACGTTTGTTGGGACATTTGAAGTCTTCTGAATGATTCACTAACCATTGTTCAAGCATGCCATGCTGTCAACTAATATAATGGATCATATGCTTATATAATTTTTGTCCTGCAGGACGAAATCAAAATAACAGGTGTCACAACTTTTGTCAATCCTTACACCGAACCAGATGAGGAAGAAGAGCAAGCTAATGCCGAAGAGAAGAATGCAAATGATGAAGAAAATGTTTGTTTCCTAATATTTTAGATGCCTATTATTGGTTATATTTTATATCACTTTTACAAGGTTTTTGTGAACTAATCCCTTGGACTTGTTTTGGCATATATTTCAGGATAAAGTTGGCTCATGGTATAGTAATCCTGGAGCTGGAACATCTGAGTCTGGAGCTACGGGGGTTGGCAGCGGTGGTGTTGGCAAGTACTTGAAGGCTAGAAGTGTTCCAAGTGAATCTGCTGCTGCTGCCGTCGACACCGGTACAACCGTTGTAGGAAAGAAAAGAAAAGCAGTTGTCAGTGGCGGATTTAAAGATTTTTCTGCATGGTAGTAATTATCCCAAATTTGAGTACAATTTGTAAATCAATGTAGACTTGTAATAATTTATCATATTCGAAAAATTTACAGAATAGTGGGGAATATGGGAAATCAATTTCTGATATAAAATTCAAATGATTTGTTTGTTGCAGATTCTGTCTAAGAAAGGAGTTATTATATTACCCGACATTTATGCAAATGCTGGTGGAGTTACTGTAAGCTATTTCGAATGGGTCCAGGTAATGATCAACTCGATAAGTGAAAATTTCAGAAGCTAATTAACAGTTCTTGAAAACATGTTTAAGAGATTTTAAATTTTCCTATGTGACTTCTGCAGAATATTCAAGGATTTATGTGGGATGAAGATAAAGTTAACCTTGAGCTAAAAAGGTATATGACTAGAGCTTTCAAGAACATAAAAGGAATGTGTAAAACTCACAACTGCGACTTGCGAATGGGAGCTTTCACTCTTGGACTCAACCGTGTCGCTCGCGCTACGCTTTTGAGAGGTTGGGAAGCTTAGAGAAACATGAACATCAATCATTACTAGCTATAAGCTGTAGTTGGAGTTTCTTAGTTTTTGCATCGTTATTTGTCTCTTCTATTCTTTTAATTCATTTGTCATCTAGTTTGAAATTGCATTGTTTTTCTTATTAATTTGGTTGGACAAGTGATTATTAGTAACTTGATTATGTCATTTTTAGTAATGTAACTCTAAAAGTACTTGTTATTGATTTTAAAAATTTGAATGTGATTAGTGTTGTATTGACTTATTCAAATTAGATTTTTATTTTTATATTATTATTAAATACATTAATTATATTATTTTAAATATGAATTAAACACAATTAATAATAAAAACGAAAAACCTGAGAGAGAAATTACCTGTGAAATTAATTATATTATATCAGTTTGCTGCGACTTTTCCTGCAAAAGTAAACGTTACCTGCGGTATTACCTGCGAATTTAGCTGTTTACTAGCGACACTGCCCAGCGACTTTATAATGCGACTTTTTCCTGCGATTATTTCCTGCGACTTTACCTGCTATGTTAATTACCCATGGAAGTTTTAGCTGGAAACAAATAATCTCAGGAAAAACCGCAGGAAACTTGTTTCCTGCAGTAATTTTGTCAAAATCCGCAGGAAAACAGAGTAATTTTAGTAGTTATATATATATATATATATATATATATATATATATATATATATATATATATATGCACATATACATATATATATATATATATATATATATATACATATATATATATATATATACATATATATGTATATGTACATATATGTATATCTATACATATATATATATATATATATATATATATATATATATATATATATATGTATATGTATATATATATAAATATATATATATATATATATATATATATATATATATATATATATATTTCTTGCGACTTTTTGCTACGACTATTTCCTGTGACTTTTTACTGCGACTATTTCCTGCGACTTTACCTGCTATGTTAATTACCCATGGAAGTTTTAGCTGGAAACAAA